AGTTTGAGAGGAGAATAAATGAAATGAAAGGAGAGAAATTGATAGTAGTGTTTGTAGTTGAAAAAATATATGCCACATGTCATTTAACAAAAAAGTAAATGCGTGGTATAATTCGTCCATTTGTTAAATACAAATTTGTCATTTATTAAGTGTAATTAATTTGAATAGATACAAGTATATTTAGAAAAGGGGACAAATATATTACTTTCTTAGTTATATAATTGATGGTGACCCTAATTTAAAAAGTTTAAAGTTATTTCAAATAATAACAGTCCATAACTAATTTCATAAAAAGAAAAACAATATCATTTTTAAGAATCAATTACAACCAAAAGATACATTTTAATTTCAATTCTTCATCATACACAACAATAAAAAAGATCCATTTCAAATTTAATTTTTCATCATAGACAACAAAAAAAAAAGATCCATTTCAAATTCAATTCTTCATTAGACGTACAACAACGACGACGAAACTTCAACTTCATTGTATCTCGGTTGAGGGAAAAAACAATGAGTCTCTAACCAAGATGAAAATTTAGAAAAATGAAAGTTTAATGTCAACAAACCCGATAGAGATGCTCTTCTGGAATATCTGTAGTTTCGAGCAACTACGAAGGGAGTTGATTCGTTGGTTAGACATGGACATACCCGAAGGCAAAAAAATAAGAAGTATTGAAAGACACGATGTCCAACGTGGGTGGGTGCGAGTTAGAAATGATAAGGATGCTAGGGAAATGATGTTTGGACCAAATGATATCAGTTTGATTGTTGTAATCAGTTAGAAATGTTGTGGTTATGTATTTTTATCTGTTTTGATATTTGTTGTATGTGTTATTTTTTAGACTTGTTGTTCGTTTTGAGTCATCTATTTTTTTGTTATTTATAATTGTTACTTAATTAGTTATAGTTCAAATAATTGAGAAGTTTGATGACAATCTAAAAACGATATTTGATAACAAAATAACAAGTTAACTATTACTAGTTCTAACATTGGGACACTGAGTTTGGTTATGATCAGGAAGACGACACATGGAACAATTTCTCTCCAACTTATTAGTCGTGTGCATTTCTGTTCTAATATGTGTGCTCACTGGATGACCTTTCTTGTTCCTCCGCATTCTTGGATTATGGAAAATTTAATTTCCTTCATAAATGAGCCAATATTCATTGTATGGTAGCACTGGAAAGCTTGTGTTGTAAACCCCAAATAGGTTTGTGGCCTTGTAAACGTTGGACAAAAGAGCATAGGCGTCTTGGCACATTGTAGAACATGCAGCGATAACATGTGAACAAGGAACACGATATGCCTAAAACTTTCTGCAGTCATTCCAACCATTTATTAGGTTGACCTTGTAATGTCTCATAGACTTACTCTCACCGTGGTTCAATGTCTCCTTCACACTGAAAGTGTTTTGATTGTAGTAAAAAATTCTTACCTAATGCATGTTGGATTTTGTTGTTTCTTCTTTCATCACCTTAACACAATTGTCTCTAAATGTTTACCCTGAATTCTACATTACACTCCATTGTAAACCCTTTCAGCAAATAGTGATCCCAGTCTATAGTATGTTGCACTTACCAATGTTGTAATGGGCAGGTTACAGGTGCCTTTAAAGACTGAATTCATTGACTTGACGAAGTTCGTTGTCATGTGACCCCAATGCCGACCCCCGTCAAATGCCCTTGTCCATTTTTCTACTAGAATATTGTTTACCCACCTTAAAGTATCACCATTAGCCATGTTAATTTCATTCCGATAATAGTGAAATGTTGGTTGGTTTACAACATACCCTATATGTTTAAAAAATTGGTTAATGTTATAATATATAATTGACAAAGCTATAATGTTAGCAAATAGATAAATACTTACCCATGTTAATAATTTTTTTCGGAGGTTTCTGTCCTTAATTTCTCTCATGAAATTTTGCACAATGTGTCTGATACAGTAGACATGCACAAATGGCGGATTATGCCAACCATTATATGGATTATTGTATGCATTTTCAATCGATGCACGTCTGTCTGAAATTAAACATAGGTCAGGTGGAGGAGCAACGTGCCTTCTCAAGTTATGTAGAAAGAACCTCTAACCTTCAGCCGTCTCACCTTCCACAAAGGGAAAAGCAACTGAAAAAATGTTACTGTTACCATCATGTGCTACCGCCATAAGCAATCTCCCTTTGTACTTACCATATAACCAGGTTCCATCAATTTGAAGTATAGGCTTGCAATATGCAAATCCTCTAATGCATGGTTGGAGTGTCCAAAATAGTCGATGGAATATGTGTTTCCTTTCAACAATAGTGTTGTCACCTGTATATATGAGTAGTGTTTTCATTTCCACCACTGTACATGAAACAATTTTTTTAAGTGCTAACAAGTAATGTGGAAGTTCTTTGTATGAATTATCCCAGTTACTGTATACTTGTTCTATTGCTTTATTCCTTACAATCCATGTTTTTCTGTATGATAGAGTGAATTTGTATTCGGAAACAATTTTAATGATAAAAACGTTTGCTCTGATTGAAGGATCCTTGTCTACAAAAGGCATTAAATTTTGATACATCAGGTGAGAGCTAAGTTTCTAATGATCTTGATTAAAGATAGTTGTTGAACAACTATGTTGGAGGTTCATAATGCCTATCATCCATGAGTCACTTCTTTTTCTATAGGACGCCAATAGACGAAACTTGCACGTATCATTTTTGTAACATATTAGATATATCTTCTAATCAAAATCTTTCACCTTAAAATACAAATAATGTTTCATGTGATATTTCTTTATGGCAAGCACACAGTCAGCTTTATATTTAAATTGGTTACCCATATCTATGTCACCCTCCATCGAAAGACGAGGAATGTGTGGTCATTCAAAGGATGATTGATCTGCACTTAAGGACAAGTTTATCATGTGAAAAAGTGGGCAAAAAATTCTCAACTGGAATGTATTGTTCATCATTGTCGCCTTTGTCAACTGCTTTTGGTTCAACATTGTCGCCTTCTTCAAATAAAGTAGTAAAGTAATGATCAACTTGTGCCTCATTTTCTTATTCAACATCTTCGTTTGAAATTATAGTTTGTGCATCTTCTTCTGATGCATTGAATATCTGTGACATCGGGTTTGTTGACATTGTTCAAATCTTATATATAAATCAATGTACTAAAACCCAAATTTTAACCCAACAAGACCCCCTTTCAACACCCAACAACAAAATTCAAATTTTACGCTCTCAACATCATACACTCAACAACAAACACCATCCACCACCCACTATAACCAATACTCATTCTCACAGCCTACCCCACAAGAACAAAACTACCAAACACCCCAACCACAAATTCCTTTTTACCACTCATAAACCTTCACCATAAATTCTTTATAATACCAACAACCCTACATCCCCTACATGCATAGCTCAATCCCACTTATTATCCAACCAAATTGAAACGACGAGGGAACCAGATTAAATCATGGCAATGCGGCGACAATGGACGAGTTTAATGATGATATGGCTGTTGATTTTATAAATCCTAGGAATGACGTGGGACATTCTACGGCAATGGACGAGTTTAATGATGATATGGCTATTGAATTTATAAATCCTAGGAATGACGTGGGACATTCTACTCGACCAACAAATATTGATGAAAATTGTATAAGAACTACACAATTTGAACTAGGTCTTGCATGTAGAACCCACCAACGTTTTTATCAATTGAGTCAAAATCAAAGCTAGATAGGGATTTAATGTACTTTTTTTTAATTACATAAATAAATAAATAAATACTTCTTTCCATTATCATTTATTTGTTTTTATTGATATTTTATTTATCAATAAATATACTTTAATTATAACAATTATTTTAATTTTATTTATTTTAACACTTAATTAAATATAAATAACTATAATCAATTAAAATTAATGAAAATGATTAATATTATATTATTTATATTAAAATTTACTTCAATTATAATTTAAAACAAAGAAAACACGATATAACACTGCTGCCCATTGGACGTTTTATTTGTACACTGCCACTCATTTAATGGGCAGTTCCCAATTTATTTGCACACTATCGCCCTTTCAATGGGGGTTTGTTGTATAACAATAATATTTTTATTTTTTTTGAAAATATTGTACTTTGATATTTATTTGGAAATGAATGATTATTTAATATATTTTCTCCAATAGTGGGAAAGGACAGTAAAAAATTCACACTTCAAGCTCAAAACACTATAACAACAACACCTCATTTACGGGACCACGATGAGATATTAGCATGATTATCTTTTTCATGAAAATATGACATGAAAACTGATCTGTTGAAACAGTGTTAAAACCGGTTTGAAACTAAAACAAGTAGAAATAGGTTTTAGAAACTAACCTGAACCATATATGTGTGTAGTTCAGTTTTGTTTGGCTTATGCCACTTGCACACCCCTAAGCATGGCTATAAAGATCAGAACCATAATCAGGCAGGCACTGTGTATTATATATCAGCCATGTCCATCCTATCTCCGGCTCATGCTTTGCTTTGATGTCAAGCAATGACAAAAGTTAAGTTCGCCGTTATATTAAACTAGTATGTTACTGGGGATTTTAAATTCACATAAGCCAATTGCACTAAATAGTAATTCCAACTTCATGTGCCAGAGGATGTAAATATTAACAGGATTTCTTCGTCCTCATGTAAACAAACACAAACTGCAGCTAATAGTTCTAGGTTCATAATGATAACCAGAAAAAGATTAAAAGTAAGTTAAGTAACAATGCATGATGGTGAGACAACTAGCACAAACTACTGAAACAAGGGACATAACAAACAAGTATGAAAACTAATAAGGAGCAGTACCAATTAAAGCAAACAATAAAATAGACCCTGACCAACAAAAACTAAAGATTTCCTGATGGAAACATAATTCTCATCAAAACTTATATGCCCTGTCCCTTTTCTTTTTATATGTTTTTCCACTTTCGGTTATGGTTGAATGGTCCTCACTTGGCCATCATAACTTTAACAAACTCCTCGTAGTTGATCTGCCCATCACCATCAACATCGGCCTCACGAATCATCTCATCAACTTCCTCGTCTGTGAGCTTCTCACCAAGATTTGTCATAACATGGCGGAGCTCAGCTGCAGAAATAAAACCATTTTGATCCTTATCAAACACGCGGAAGGCTTCCTTGAGTTCCTCCTCTGAATCAGTATCTTTCATCTTGCGGGCCATGAGGTTGAGGAATTCTGGGAAGTCAATGGTACCATTGCCATCAGCATCAACTTCATTTATCATGTCTTGTAGCTCTGCCTCAGTTGGATTTTGCCCAAGAGACCGCATTACAGTCCCGAGTTCCTTGGTGGTAATACAACCTATAACATGTCACAAAACAGTTAAACACAAATCTGATTAAGCCTCACAAGATAATTGCAAGACACAGTTTTAGAAGCATGAACATAATCAAATGGTTATCTTTGGGAACAAAGAAACAAATATACAGCCATAAGAAACCAAATAACCTTTGAAAGATCAACCTATCAAAGTCCACCAAACCCAAAAAAGATGCCCACAAAACCAAAATGTTGCCCTATTTCTGTTCTCAAATCAGAACATGTAATCTGAATCTCATGAGAAAGTTGATTTTCCCAATTTATGACTACAATCATACACACACCAACAATAATACTAGGGAGAACTAAAATTATAAACAAATAGCCCTAAATCCTAGGTTTCAGCAAGAGATATACAAGACTTGTCATCAATGAAGCACACACACCCAGAAGACGACCCAAACACTGCCACAAAGACATCACTAATAATTTGAAAAAATGAATAAATTAAAGAGATGCAGGTGTCCTTCGGACAGGGACCCCGACACCCCTTTTCAGAGGTGTCCAACTGACACTGACACAGACAGAGATAGATAAATCGTTCAATTTCCTAGAACAATATAAATTGCCATTCCATAATCCTATATCGCAATTGGAAATCTCTACCTGAATGCCCCAAAAATGAAGCAAAGGAACCTCATATAGATCGACCCCACATTTAATTATCAGTAAATCTAGTATATACAGTCATACGATCCACATAAAAAATACATGAATTAAACAATTCCAGTAAAAACAGCAGCGATCAATAAAAAAAAGTCAATCATGGAAGAAACCCTAGATCACCAATAAACTTTTAAAAACTAAACCATTGTCTTCAATATAAAACAAGACGGTAACAGTAACAAACACTAAACATGCAAGAACTAGATGAATGACCAGATCTAAGAAATGAACAAAACGATAATGAAAAAGGATCTGAGAAAAGAAACCATCGCCGTCCTTATCGAATAAGCTGAAAGCCTCTTTGAACTCGGCGATCTGATCATCGGTGAGCTGGTCGGCCATTGGAGCTGAGAGAAAGGCGTATGGGCTGCTAGAAAATGAGAGAAAGAGAAACAAAACGGAGAAAACAAACGTTGAAAATAGAGAGGAGGGATGACAAATATATACACACACCAAGGAGCTCGAGGCTAGGTTCGAATATCTTATAATTATTATCTCATATTTTCTTGCCTTTATAAAATATATTATGATATGTGTGTAAATATGAAATGAAAATAAAATTGAATTTTATTTTTATATCTAAAATTAAAAAATTTATTTGTCAAATAAAAATAATTGTTAGTTAAAATAAAATATATATTATTTTAATAATGACTTGTGAAAATAAAAGTTAGTGGTATGCATCATTATTGAATGATATTTAATTTGATACAATATAAAATGTTTTTAGATACACACACAATTTATAATGTGTTACTTAATTATAAAATGAAGGCTTAATGTGCTCCCTTAATTTAATTTCAATTTTCAGTTCAATCTCTTATGTAATAAATGTTTGTTTCATGTCTCTCATTTGTAATTCTGTTAGCCAATGTCATTTTGAATAAAAAGTAAATGAATTTTAAACGTTTCATTTTAACCTAGTTTGTTTCATTTTGACTTCACTTGAACTCTGTGAGAAAACCCTAACAAATCTAGCATCCCTCTTTATCTTCGTTCCCGTAGTTATCATCCATCTTCATCTTTGTTTGTCAAGGTATGTTAATCAATCTCCATTGTTAAGTTCGTTCATTTCATACATTTTTGTTCATCCTCCTTTCGGATACTTCGTTCATCTTCATTTCATACATTTTTGTTCTTCTTCGTTACTGGTACTTCGTTCATCTTTATTTTTAGGGTTTTTGGAATTTTACTTCTGAGAGAAAGAAGAACATGGTCCATCATCTGTTTTAAGGTACGAATAATGCAAATTGTTTTGGCTATTTCCTCTTCATTAGTTGTATTTCTCATTTAGGGTTTTTCATCTTTCTTAGATGTATTTCTCATGTAGTTTCTTTATCTAGGTCATGAATAGTCGTTTTAAATGTATTGTTAATCATGGGGGTGAGTTTGCTGAGTTCACGAAATTAGGTTATAATGGCTTAGAGGAAACTTGGGATGTTGAGCCTGATTTTTGGAGTTACTTCAAAGTATTGGGTGGGTTAAAGGATTTAGGTTATCCAACTATAGAGAGCCTTTGGTATTATGATCAAATGGAGTGTAATAGCATAGTGGAGTTGAAAGATGACAATAGAACTAGGAGGATGCATACAATTGCTGAGTTGACTTGGGAAATGCATTTATATATTATGCATCCTATCCTACAAGCTGATGTAACTGAGGAATCAATACTATCACTTGAGTACAATGTTGAAGTAGGTGCCACTGAAACTGAGATAGGTGAGAACAATGATGAGGGGACCCCCTGGGTGGAGAATGTAGTGAATAAAGAAGAAAATACTGAAAAGTTTCCAACTAAATTTGAGAGTGTTATGGATGAAAGAGACATTGAAGTTGAAGCTGATATGGAAGGAGGAGACGTAAATGACAAGGGGACTACAGATGTTGTACATGATGTGGAAGTTGGAAACAAGGGGACCACTGAAGTTAAACATGATAAAAGGACCACTAAAGTTGAACTAGAAGAGGGAACCACTAAAATGGAAGATATATATATATATATATATATATATATATATATATATATATATATATATATATATATATATATATATATATATATATATATATATATATATATATATATATATATATATATATATATATATATATATATATATATATATATATATATATATATATATATATATATATATATATATATATATATATATATATATATATATATATATATATATATATATATATATATATATATATATATATATATATATATATATATATATATATATATATATATATAGGGAACCACTAAAATTGAAGATATATATATATATATATATATATATATATATATATATATATATATATATATATATATATATATATATATATATATATATATATATATATATATATATATATATATATATATATATATATATATATATATATATATATATATATATATATATATATATATATATATATATATATATATATAAACAGAAAGCGTTAATGTTTCTCATCTTTTATATATATAGCCACTAAGAATAAGTTTTTTTAACTTACTCCACATCATAGCCTTTAAATTGAATCTAATCTAAAGGTTAAATTAACTTTTATACTTATAATCATTCGATTAAATCTAATTTAAAAGTTATGATTGTAGAGTAAGTTATAAAAACTTACTCTTAAAGTAAGTGGATCTTCACTTATATATATATATATATATATATATATATATATATATATATATATATATATATATATATATATATATATATATATATATATATATATATATATATATATATATATATATATATATATATATATATATATATATATATATATATATATATATATATATATATATATATATATATATATATATATATATATATATATATATATATATATATATATATATATATATATATATATATATATATATATATATATATATATATATATATATATATATATATATATATATATATATATATATATATATAGGTTCAAGAGAACTTTATTCTCTTCCTAAGAATTTCTACGGTAAAGGCTAACACCATTTATTTAGTAATAGATTTTATGGTGTGTTAACCATTTCTATCATAACTGTGAGTTTACATTTTCACATTTTTCAAAGATTTTTTTCAAGAGATGTGATACTCTTCTTTTGTTTAGCACAGAATCTAAAAAGCTTTAGATTTTCATTCTGCAAATTAATCTAGGATGACTCAATAGGTTATTTGTCGACCACTAAAAGGAAGTTACAATTTATCTAGAGTATCTACAACGCAAGAGAACTAACCTACATGAGAGTATATGAAATTCAAGTCCTAGATACATCCAACGACTTCCCGCATCACACACCTAGCAAATAGTGGGTCGTTATAACTATCTTACTACATAAAATATATATGTGGGGAGTTCAAATATACAATTTAAAATTTAAATTTCTTTCACTATTCTCCCACACATACTGAGTTGAGCGTTGGAGTGTTAACCTTGTAGGTCAGGCCCTTTTCCACCTCATCGAAAGTTCAGATCCTCTAGTATTCATCGCAACCACAAATTCTCCAACCAATTATTGTTACGTAACAAAACACAAATCATAAATAACATCTTGTAGTTCATAATAAAAAGGTTGATCACTTGAGTCAAAGTTACAAACTTCATCATTATCATCATCATAAACCATCAAATATAGATGTGTTTCTTCTTTATTTTCAAAATTTGAGGTTGTGCTAGCAACATTTTCCCAAGCAATATACCCTTTTCTTGAATTTCTATTCTTCTTATTTTTAAATCCATTATTCTTTTGGAGAAAAGGAAAATCACTCTCCATATTTCCTTGATTTCCACATTCAAAGCAAGTGAATTTTTTTCTTGAAGTTGATGATTCATCCTTCCTTACAAACATCTTTCCTTGACCAAATTTTATTATCTTGTTTCTTTTCAAGAGTTTTCCAAAATTCTTGAATAATACTTATATATCTTTATCATTTTATTCACTATCAGGTTGATATTCTTCTTCTTGATGACTATCATAAGCTTTGGCTTTAGTTTTTAATGCAGCGGATCTAACTTTATGTAGACGTCCTTCATGCTTCTTGACTAGTACTTTCAATTTTTTTAATAATGCAACCAAGGTCATTTTTTATAAACTCTTCTTTTTTGAAATTGTTGTCACCTATGGTTTCCATGCCCCTGTTAGTGATCTAAGAACCTTTAAATTTAATTCATTGTTAGTAAAAATCTTTCCAAGAGCAGTTAAAAGATTTGTTAAGAGGATGAATCTTTGTTGTAAATCTAGAATTTCCTCTCTCAATAACTTTCTAAACATTTCGTACTCTTGTGAGAGGGTTTTTAATCCATATTTTTTTACTTCTTTTATTCCTTCATGTGTTATTTCTAAGGTCTCCCATATTTCTTTAGCAGTTTTATAATTTGATACTCTAAAGAACTCATCCATTCCTAAGGATGATACTATAATATTCTTGGCCTTTTATCATACTAGACTTTCTCTTTATCATCATCATTCCATGCATATTTAGGCTTGGGTTGTTCTACAGTACACCATCAACATTAGTACTAAGCATAAATGGACCTTGTTCAACTTCATTCTAAATTTCTGCACTATGAGATTCAATAAACATTTGCATTCATATTTTTTAGAAATCATAACATTCAACGGTGAATCAGGGTGGTCTAGTTAGTCTAGAACCTTGTCCTAATAAGGGTTTAGTGGAATCCATATTATCCCGACTCTAGGTGCAATTTACCTAACTCTTGCTCTGATGCCAACTATATGTAATATATAAAAACCTAAGAGGGGGTGAATTATATTTGTCAAATTTTTCTAGTTTTAAGCACTTATTTCTGCAAACTTGTTTTTACCGGAAGTGTGTTTAAGAATAACTAATTAATTCAAAAATAACAAAGAGTATATTGTTAGAAAATAAAGTGAAGAATGTAAAAGTTAATATAAGAGAGAATGGCAAACAATATTTATCCTGGTTCCCCTTGCCAACTTAAGGGTACACTCAGTCCCTCTATCTCCTTAGTGGATTTTTTTACTATGTATCGAGAGATTCAGTCCTCTCAATCTAATCCTTAATACTCATACAAGAAAGCACACCACTCTCTTATTTTCACAACCAACACCAAACACTATGGTGGACTTTGAATCACCCCGACTCAAAGAACTTTTTCCACAATCACCAAACTCTAAGATGATCTTCACCAAACACTATGGTGAAACAAGTAACACTCAATTTTTTTTGAGAAATGAAGAACTTGTTGGGTGTGATTATGGAAGTAGAAAAATGGTCTAAGAAGGGTGAATAGACTCAAATTAAAAAATTCAACTGCCA